GACTGACTTCCATAGGAATAATATCACAAAGCACCTTATCATTGTATTTTCCAATGGAAATGTCCACTTCAACTTGTTGTCTCACTTGCACCTCTCCATCCTTACTAAGCCATTGAAGTTTATATGGCCTAGGATGTGGTTTGGTAGCTAAATTTAGTTTTGATACTAATCTAGCACTAGCCACATTGGTGCAACTACCTCCATATATGATCATCATGCACACCTTGTCATTGATTAAACATCTAGTGTGAAAAATATTTTTTCTTTGGCTTTCTTCCATAGGTTTCAATTGACTATTAAGTAATCGCCTAATCATCAATAAATCTCCCTTTGGAATATCCTCCTCCTTAATGTCTTCACTCTTTTCTCCCTCTTCAACCTCAGATTCACTTATATATTCTCCCTCTCTAAGAACCATGGTCTTTGTGTTAGGGCACTCATAAGCATAGTGTCCTAGGTCTTGACACTTGAAACACTTCACATCTCTACTTTTTTTAGAGGGTTGTTCTTCATATTTTGAATGAGTCTTTGTAGGAATAGGTGTGGAACTACTAGAAGTAACAGTCTCATCTTTCTTGCCTTTGTCCTTCCAACTTGAAAATCCAAAGTTGGTAGAACTCTTCTTAGTCATTTCTTTTCTTTTGAGTTGTTGCTCCACTCGAATTGATTTATTAAGTAAATCCTTCATATCAACAAACTCCTGCAACTCAACAATATCACATATATCAATATTCAAACCACTAATAAATCGAGCCATAGTTACCTCTTCATCTTCTTCAATCTTTGCTTAAATCATGAGCATGTCCATTTCTTTAAAATACTCCTCAACCCCCTTGTTGCCTTGAGTAAGTTTTTGGATTTTAAATTTCAAGTCCCTTGCATAACTAGCCGGCACATACCACTTCCTCATGATCCTTTTCATCTCAGTCCATGTATCAACCATTGACTCTTCATTTCTATCTCTCTCCTTTTTAGCTTGTTCCACCAACAAGAGCATAGTCAGAAAATTCCGTTGTTGCAAGCCTCACCTTTTGGGTCTCCTCATAATTGTTGTATGAGAAAACATGCTCTATTTTCATCTCCCACTCCAAGTATGCCTCCGGATCACTTTTTCCTTTAAATAGAGGAATGTTAAGCTTGACTCCTTCAAGCCTACTTAGTCTTGCTACTCTATCATTCATTCTCCTATTTCTCCTTTCTTCTTCGTCTTCAGGATTTTTATTCTCCAACGGTTCAATCTTTCATGGAGCTCATTGTTATGTCGTATCATTAATCCTTCCAAATGTTGTACCAATACTCTCATTTGAAATGGATTAATTCATGCTTCTTGATTGTAATTTTCCTCTTCTGCCATCAATTTGATGTTTAAACCCTTAAACCGGAGCTCTGAATACCAAATGGTATGAATCACAAAGGGTAATTTAGGATATTTAGGGTTAGAACCTTGTAAGAAATTTAGGAATTAGAAAGAAGGTGGCATGAAAGAATCACTCTTCCCAAGTGAGGCAAAACACAAAGGATGTGAAAGTCCTTTGATACAGCCAAGGATTCTTGAATCACTCAAGAATTTAGGAGAATCACTCTCACTAAGATAAAAGAGATAAACTCTAATATTTCTGAATAAAATTCCACTTGTTATTTCTTGATAAAAATGGTTTAGCTAATATAGAAGCGTTGCCATTAGAATTACAAAAGACTCAATAAAAGAAAATAAATACTAATAATAATCCATTAATCTAGGAATTGAAAACTATTTAATGAAAACAAATAAAGGCTAATAATGATCCATTAACCTAGAAATTGAAACTACTTAATGACTGAATGTATCTGAAACTGTGGCAACCAAAAGTCAATCAGTTGTGCACCCCTTGATCTCCCAAAGACTGATGACTAAATTTTCAATTGGGCCCTTATTACAACTTAAAACAAAATCAAATTAAAACCCATTAATTGATTAATTCAAAACATAATTTGGTCAACCAACAATATTTGTTGAAGAGCTTCCTTTATTTCCCTTGCTCTAGCCCTTATCATACGTCATGTTCACATCAGGAACATCTTGTACCAGACAAAATTGTAACTTCACCCTGTCTGACTGGTGTCATTCAACAATTGAAAAACAAAGTAAACTTGTGCAAGAGGTCATGCTTGGTCCCTGTATGCTTCCGCAGAAATGATTGACTCCAATCCCTCATACGGAACCCATATAAACTATGTCACCAATACTAAAGTGAGAAACTTAGTAAATTTTGAACATTAGAAAGTGAAGTTAAAAATAGAAGTGAACCTGGTTAGGTTCAATGTGGTCTATCCTTGATCGGTAGCCAAGTAAATCATTATGGGGAACATTTTGATAATTCAGTACATGACCCCCACTCCATCGGCATACAAGGGGGAACATCAATTGAGTCCGTGAAATTGGTGCAATAAAGGGCATACGAAACCATGCCCAGGACTACAATAACGACGCACATCCACCCATGGTCTTCGCACACCGATTTGTTGCTCTACAAATTTCCCTGTACAATACAGCTAAACAAGCAGAACCCCAACTATATCGTCGAGTTCTGCAAAGATTACTTAAAAACTTCAAGTACATTAAGTGTACCTTATTACCAGTTTTATCAGACACTAAAATCCCTCCAATCAATCCTAATATATATGCCCTTGCATGGACATGTATTTCCTCAGTGAGACCATATTTTCCTTAAGCCACTTTAACTTCACCATAGACCCTATGAGGGACTCCCCCTTTGTAGGGATAATACCTAATAACGTATGACACATGTTCTCCCAATCAAACATCGTTGGTCCAATCATAAGTGGATGATCAATTTTAAGCCCTAATTGAAGTGAAACATCTTGCAATGTTATTGTGCATTCTGCTGTTGGCAGATGAAAAGTATGTGTCTCAGGCCTCCACCTCTCCACTAAAGTTGTAACTAAAACATTATCTACCTTTAAATGTCTTAATTTAGCAACACTGCTAAATCCAACTTCTTCTATTATAGGAAGAAGAAGAGGATATGGTTCCGACATGGAATGACAATACAACAACACAATACTTTGTTCTGTGTCCTATATAGCCAAAAAATAACATTGTTTATTGAGAAATAAATAACTTTAACAATAATAACAATAGAACTAACATACTATCAAAGCAGTGTAGGTAGCTCTGTGTTCTTGTTGTCTCTACAATAACATTTTGTTAACCTTCTTTCTTCAATCTTGACTAACACTCTTGCAAAAATTGTAGTATATGATTATGATGACCATAAGTTTGGTTATTGGACTTCACCTTTCAAAATATATAGAGTAAAAACCTGCACGCTTAATAAAAGCTTGTCGGACCACGTGCAATGTGGATCTAAATCCTGTGCGTTAATCTCCACATATTCAATTTGAACCCTTCAATTAAAGTTGATGTACTTTGTGACAAGGACTAAAGTTTGCACGCGTTATTGATGGTGGTTAAACCTCATGCAATGTCGGCTATCTTTGATGGTTGTCCATGAGAGCAGGGTGCATGTGAGAGTATTGATTGAGAGAGTGACTGAGTCAATGCATGGTAATAGTCATCAACTTTGGGGAGTTATGGTATGACACAATACCATTATTTATAATGTCATAATGGGTAGTTTACGTTTTTTTAGTTAACAACTGCGATTAAAAACACAAAAATTGAACGCACAAGATTCAGATCCACTACATAAGGCATACTGCTCAGCCATAATGACACGACCATGCTTTAATAAAACCCTGTCAGACCTTGTGCAATGTGGATTTAAATGATGTGTGTTCATCTCCATAGATTTAATTTCAACCCTCAGATTAAAGTTGGAGCACTTTGTCACATGGAATCTTTGTCACAAGTTCTTGAGGGTAGATCTTTTCACTCTTTTTCGATGCAAGAAGAGTCAGTGTCATTCTAGCAACTTCTTGAGAGCATCGACGGAGCGAAGCAATTCAACCAGAGTATCCCAGCTTTCAAGTTAGCTCGGGATGGGAGGGTATCAAACCATTGAAAGCAGATGCTGACTTAGATCCAGTATCTCTCACAGATGAAAGAAAGGAAGCATAGAATGAAGAGAGGATGTGACTATTACTAATACCTTTATTATATTAGAATACCTTTCATTTAAAAAAAATGTGTATGTACGGGTTGAAAGATAAAATTCCACTATCTCCTAGACTGAACGAGATGAGGTTTCATAAGTCATATATCCTATTTCATTGATGACAAAAAAATGGGCTTTCCTCAAACGATTGGAACAAGAATAGGTTCTTGTCTCTTTGAATCATATCATCCATGGCGAATGGTATCTTATATAAGAGAAAGGCCGCATTTAGGAGTGAAAAAAAAGGAACATCTTTATGAGATGAACGTAATCTATATCTCTTATTTGGTTAGGAAAAATGAACTTGCTGTAGGGGCCTTAACATCGAATCACACATAGCTAGAGTTTCTTTCTAGTAGCTGCTTCACTTTAGTATCCATTTTGTTTGTGTAGAACCACATAACTTGCTCAGAAGCTATTGCATTGATAGGCAAAGCTTACTAGTACAATAAAGCAAGCAATTGAATCCTTCGCAAAAGAACTCATTTAGCTTGAGCGAGTAAAATTTTCATCATTCCCTAATCAAAACCAAAAGCAAAATCCCAAATAGAATGTAATTGCCTTAATTAATTTCATTTCGACTTTTACGAAAAAAAAGAAGTTTGTCTAAATCTAAAATCTTTGACTGGGACTGGTCCTCCATCACTTCCCTCCCCCAACGCTAGGTCCTTAAAGGCCTCTTCCCCTTTTTTCTTGTATGAAAAGAGAGGGAGACTACACCTTCTTCTGTGGGAATACGAAGAAGAAAAAAGTGACAGATTTGTCCATCAGTCATGGGAATCACATTGGTGGGAATATAGAAAGCTGAAGGACTCCAATTTCAATGTGCCCAATTTCAAAGAGTTGTTTTTTATATATTATATATATAGTAGAAATCTTTTTTTAAAAGTAGATACAAGGTGTGTGGGCATCCGCACGACACAATTCCTCAGACAGTTTATGAGAAGGATACTCAGTTTGCTTATTCGTAAGGATTGACTCCCCAATAATGAAATGAATTGCATTTTTTTTCTCGCCAAAAGGCATAGGGCCAAGGCGGAATCCAATTGTGCCATTCGATCGACAATCTGCCCTTTCTTCTAGTTGAGCGATCGCTCGCGCTTCCTCCATAAGCAGCTTGTCCGCATTTGCTTGAGGGAATGGGCGTAATCGATACAGAATCCTATCCTCCGCTTCCGAGAGAGCTTGATCCACTACCTCCTTCGGGTGGTCCGATGTGGAGGAAGAAGGCTCCAGCTCAGCCGCTGGAGGACGATTTAAGTCAATGTCCCACCGAAGGCAAGGTTTTGATGAGCTTGATTCCCCGGAAGTCCCCGATACACCCACAATTAGAAAGGGGAAAACAAGATCTCCAAAAAGAATGAATACCCAAGCGATTAAGTAGATAGATGCGCAGGAAATAAAAAAAGGAGATGCAAAACAAAATAGAAGGGAGAGAAACACAAGAAAGACACCGTCTTTCTAAACCATCATAACAAAAACGGTTCAAACATAAAAAAAAAGGTTTTCCTACAAGGACCAGATTATGACCTGTTATCATACGCGCGGTTCTTCCGTTAGATCCAATAGTCCTTGCTAAAGATACTGCAATCAGAACAGGAAGACAGTGAAAGGAAGAATGGAAATGGAAATGGATCATTGTGCTATCTGGTTTACCCTTTATTCCACTTATTCCTTTCTCCTTCCCTTTCTTTCTTTAGAGCAAGAAGCGGAACTATAGAGATGATATGAAAGTTTTATCTTACGAATCGGAAGATGTCTAACAACCACGAAGGAAGGTTGCTCCCAATCTTAAAGTTCTTTTTTCTTTATTTTTAAAGCGAAACTACGACATTCACCGAGGTTGGCACAGGGAGCCGCTTTGAGAATCCGATGCCGGGGTGATGGGAGGGGGTAAGAGAAGCGAGATTTTTGTATGCACGAGGAAAGAGGAGATTGTTAATAGAAAGCTAATAAGCTCTTTTTGTTTTTGGGCTTCCCCTTTTTCAATCACCTCCTACCTTATGGAAAGCCCACTGCTTAAGACCCTCAATCGAAAGGTCAAGGATTGTTTGTGCTGTTCCGTATATAGATAAAACCATCTCCGGTTCTTGGAAACCCACCGGTCTTCTTCTTATCGCTCTGCTTCTATCTATTCGGATAGACCACACCTCAGAAATAAAGTCCACTATTCTATTCCATATCATGGCAGCAATCCCGGGAATGGGCATCCATTATCAGATGTCTAGGCACAAAAAGAGAGATATGCCAGAAAGATAGGATACAGGTACTCTACGGGAGAAGGGATTGGATTTGGCACGCTGAAACCCTAAGTCCCCTGTTCCCTTTCTTATGATAAAAGAGATTGTTGAGTCCAATTGTGGGTGGAGAAGACGTCTATGCTTGAAACTGATCCTTAAGATAAGAGAGGATTTTCCATCCAAAGAATTCGGTAGGAGACAGTCTCATAACTCTGCTAAAATGAGAGTAATAAGCTCAATGCCCTTACTCAACTCACAAGAGTAAAGAAATTCAATTTCATCTCTCCAAGAGACTTGACCTCTCAAAATCTTTCTTAAAAGTTATGACGCTCTCCCTTTAAGAAAGAGTTATATCATATGTGAAGCCTTTCACATTATATCCTCCGGAATAAAGTAAGGACTTTTTCCCGTATATCACAGTGCCTACCCTGCAGATAAAAGACTTTATCCTTAGAGACGGTTTTTGTTTGAATGAATTCCTACCATTAGTGGCTTACTAAAAAAGAAATTGCGTATAACAAGAAAGGAAGAAGAAGGATAGATGACTAAAGAAAGTAGGTACTGGGACCTTTTGGAACATGATTAGGGATAAAAAGAATATTAGACTGATAAGTATGAGCGAAAAATAGTTCTTATCTCTTCTCTGTACCGGTAAAGACTTTGACCTTAGAGTAAGGGGAGGGCCTAAGACTTTCTTTCTAGTCGGGAAGATCATTTCTTAATCGAAGCCATAGCTTAAACCCGAATAGAAGGACTTTCTCTGGAAAGGCTCTAGGAATTCTCTCTACTCTAGAAGCCATAGGTCCTTGAGCAATAGACTGAAGAGGCATCTCTAACAAAGGGAGAAGGCCAGAGATTCATTAATAACGGATCTCGACTCCTCCCCCGTACTGATGGGAATGACGGACACTGCATCTTAAGATGCCGAAGCCGAGGAACTGAACCAAACCAGTGACTTTCTTGACTTTCTTTAAAGGCTGACATCCCGGACTGAAAAAGGATCAACTAGGAAGACTGGGCAGAAAAGGATCTTCTTACCCGCAGTAAGACAATCAGGAACACGACTTCTATAATTAGAATATGAATTTCGCCTTTTTACCTACATTACAATAGGGGCATTGACTCAGTCTCAACTAGACCTAGACCCACTCGAACATAATTGCTTTAATGGAAAGAACAAAACAGAAAGGACGATTCATTTTTAAGCAGCGGGATCTTTTTTCATTGCTAAGACAACCTCATTTCGAAACCGGATTCGCTACCCAATTAGTCTCCCTACGCTATTATATTATATTATATTAGGCACCTTTGGTCCTTGCTTTCTCGATCAAACTCTCTGACGTCGAAGAAATACTTCGAGGAGCAGGGATGATTTGAAATCCTGTATTTTTTTGACACTGAACACCAAGCCAATCTTGACTTAAGTAAGTACAAGCAAGGCAATGGACTCTATCAAGAAGGTATGGAACTTCTCGACGCACCTCTTGAAATGAAATTCCTTCTTTGCCACATCTCTCTTAGCTTATTTTATTTCGAGTTATTAGAGGGAAGGATCACTCCTAAAAGAAGCCTTTCTCTTATATTATCGAGAGCACTGCTACCACTTCTGAAGTTAGGGACTTCTTTCTGTCGATACCTTTACTTTAGAGAGATAAAGAATAGGGGCAAAGCGGTTGAATTGGCTTCCATCGAAATCTAGATTTCCTCTGCCTCTTTTCTTATATTTATATTTTAGACACTCGAAGCATATTGGAAAGTTTCCAGTAGAGCGGGAAGAAGGCTTAGTCAAAGACTTTCAAGAGCTTGTTGAAGGAAATGGATCAAAGGAAAGGGAAGAGCCCGGCAAAGTCCGAAAAAAGAGATTGAATACCTGGAATTCACCGATAAACCCCTCCCTTTGAAGTAATTCATTTCAGCCAGAAGTTCCAAGTCCGTAAGCTACTCTGATTGAAATCACTGATGTCGAGCGTTACTGAAAAGCAAGGGCATTTTGGAAAAGACCCTACTACTAAACTTAACTAAGGGGTCTTCTTTTGAAGATTCCTTAGGTGGTCACCGGTGGGTTAACAAATGAAATCTATCTTGGTGTTCATCACCTGGTTAAACAGGTAGTAAAGTGAGGTCGTCGATCAGGGTGGCTGTATGTTGCACTTCACTGTAAACAAGCATCAACATGCTTTATGCACTCTTCTTCTACTCACCCTTCTAATGTGAAGGCCTTGGCTACCGATGCAGCAAATTCTTTTGATTAATTCAAAGAAATACTGCATGCATTGGTATGTTCCGTCTATTTCTAGTATTCCTCTCTATCTCTAGTATTCCTTTGCTACAAGGAATTACTTGCGATCTGACCTGGAAGGCCACACCATCTAAGATGAAGCCTATCTGATTGCCGATTGATTGAAGGGCTCTCGTCGTAAGAAAGGAGTTCAATCTGTCTTCCGAGCCTTCCCCTTTGAAATCCATTCTTGGTTTCAACTTGCTGAGTCTCAGAATCAGTTCCGTGGGCGTTAACAAGCTAATTGGTTAGGCGCGTTGTGGTTTCCTTGGACGAGGTATTGTTTTGACCCTAACAACGAACTCATCTCGCAAATAGGTTGTTCTGCATTTGAAGAAGTTGTTCGAGCTATACTATAGAAGATATAAGATAAGATATAAGATAAGGAGTTGATTTGCATCCTTGTCTGGCAGTTCGCTAAGCGAGAAGTTGTGATCGAGGAAGCCCCGCCCAGTAGTGCCTCTACTCTACTAGTCCTAGTATTAGATACTAGATAGATAAGCCGATCACCAGTGGCATAAGATCCTTCTCTGCTTGTCTAACTCAAGCCAGATAGCAGCAATCACTCGAAATAGTCATATGCGGAACACATGCAAGTCCATATTGAAAGATAAGAGAGCCAAGTGTTTCTCTTTAGACCAAAAGTTAATTATGGGGGGACAGGTCTCTAGGGAAGAAATGCAAGAGGTCTAACCTATCCGTTTGTTTCATGCAGTGAAGCGGGCTAGAGCCAGAAGTACGGGATTGTTTGAGGGCCTTTCCGGTTTCAGCCAACTATAGTGTCAAGGAATATAATTCATTTTGGGCAAGTAAAGTCAAAAGAAAGGGCAAGATTCCAAAAAGTAGTTCCTGACTCCAATCAGTCAATTACGGGCGGTAAAAGAGCTGGTAGTGAATCTTCGGCGCAAGCTATAGGAGTAGGACTAGTTTAGGTTTAGGCGAGGGAAGTAGACAGCAAGCTTTGTCTTATCTTCATGAGCAGCCACCAAAAGAAGACTTTGCCCCAAAGCAGTCACTGAAACTATAGGGCTAGGGGCAGGAGCATAGGAAGAGGTCGCTTGCATTTACTTTCTTTCATGAGGGCTAACGCTTCTGCAGCCAACTTCGGTGGGCAGTTTCCTCTTCACAGAAGTGGCTCTCCCCATGTTCTGGATTCTTAATATAATATAATATATATTGGCCAGTGCTAATGACAAGTTCTGCAAAGTCAAAAGTTCGCTTCTTGGAAGTGAGGCTTTGTCAAAGCTCTTTGACATTCGTCGTGGGTCCCGATCTACGATAGAAGCGCCTGTTACCTTTACACTATCTTGGCTAATAAAGAAAGTCAAATATCTAGTATGATAGTCCCGGTTCGTCTTTCCTTTATTTATCCAGATTTGATTTACTTTGCTAAGCTAAGATTTACATTCTCAGTTAGCTGTTAGCTGGGATGGTGCCCTGGTATACTACCGGGAACTGCTGTGAAACCATGGATCGCTCTAACTACAACCGGCTTAACTGCTTAGGGAAGCTGATACGATTTCTGAGTCGAAAGTAAGGACTGACTTTTAGGCTGACTGGATGGGATCGGCCTTAGTACCGAGAACTACAAAAGAGGAACTACACTGTCCGCCCACTAATCCCTTCCCTCATCCTTCACTTCCTTTCTTCAGTCATCGTTTGCTAGTACTAGGGTTGGATGCTTACTTCGCATTCTTTCCTTATTTCTTCTTGCCTCTACCTGAGAGTTCTCCCTCGTTCTAAGAGCTGCTCCTTCGAAGCGAGGAAGGGTAGATATTCGGAGTGCTGCCTGATCGTGGATGGGTTCATCGATGCTGGGAACAAGACTGGCTAAGAGCTACTTTTAGCTAGCTATAAGAGTGGGTCTTACCTCAACAACTTTCCTTGACTACGAAAGCATGCTCCCCCTTTTCAATCTCCATCCAGGAACAACGACCATATACGAGAAGGCATCGAGGAGATCCTGAGTCCTTCAGACCAGTAAATGATTGCCTAGCTAGCGCATATTGAAGAGTTTGAGCAGTGGCCTTTGTTCACATCCTGATTGGGTTCCATCTAGAGGAGATACTCGTTAGGGCAAAGGATGCAATAGTTTTCAAAGTCCCAACAGTTACCATCTTTGGTGCGTTAAGCGGAAGAGGGGGTAGGTTAATCTTCAAACAAAGATTGTCGCGTTATTCCTTTCATACTTTATTGGAAATGGAAAGTGAAATAGATAAAACAAAGGGATCAATCAGTCGCACAGAAAACAAACTTTTTCTCTTGACTGACTATGGAAAGTTTTCCACCAACCATGAAGAGAAGTAGAAGTAGTGAAGCCAGAAGGCGAGGAGTATAAGGCCAGGAACCAGAGCAGGCATAAATGACCTTGATCGAAAGTGAGCCCTTCACGAAGCATGGAAAGTAAAAGGATGCGAAGAGAGCGCCACTATTCTCTTTTTGGGAAAGATCACTCCTAGGTTAGGCCGACGAGACATCAAGAGGAAGTCCTTATTGGATGAATCTGGTAAATGTGTAGGTACAAATCCACTTGATATTAATGACTTGTCATGTCTAAATCACATTAGTACAAAACTATTAAAGAATTTGAAAAAGAAATATGCTATTTTAGAAAAAGAAAATCGTGCTCTTTCTCTGAAATTAGTTCAGCTGGAACAGGAAAGAGAACAGGAAAGAGGTAGAATAGCCCAGCAGAGAGTAGAATCACGAAAGAAGACCCTTACATTAGCATTAGAAGATAAGAATACATTAGAGCAAAAGAATGCTAATGCTAAAAGGGATGAAGAGGAAAGCTTTCACGCGTCATTCATGGTGGTCAAACCTCGTGCAATGTGGATCTAAATCATATGTGTTCATCTCCACATATTCATTCTTAGCCATTAGATTTCGTATATGGAATTATCATTATTGTTGGCCCAAGTGAACAATTGTCCTATAAATAGAGCAACTTATAGGTTGTTCGACCAATCAACTCAATGACAAGGTACTGCAACCAACAATGACATCTACAGCTTTCACAGTATTGGTGTACTTCAACGACATCATCTTAACGGAAGAAAACTACTCTGAAACATACATTAGTTCTCAAATGGCTTGGGTGACCATAACAAACACAATGACTATGGTCGAAGTGAAGCAAACTATTCTCAACCACTTCAACATGTCAACAGTAAAATAATATGAAGTCAACTTACAATACAGGTTACCAATTTTCATATCTGCCACCACTGCACATTATAGATCATGTAAGATATTTGTAGATGACGACGTCGAGGTATTGTTTATAATGGCAACATAACAGGCTACAGAAGTTCATGTTGAGATCATGGAATTTATTACAAAAATGTACCAAAGTGCAACCCCGTCCGAAGTTTATTATGATTTAGCTAATAACTTCAACCAGTCACTAAACTTAGATTGATGATCATGTACCTTGATTTCTGAAAATTCCATGAACCTTATGTTATCACTCTTATTGTCATGTGTAACAAGTATTTCAATCAATCCAATATTATCATTTATGTTAAGTCGATTAATCTTATTTATGTTTATCATTGTATAAAAAAAATCGTATTAACATGATGACGTAAAGTTATGTGTAAGTCAAATGATTACACAAGGAAATATCCAAGTCACATGATGACATAAGGTGTGGTGTGGGTCACATGATCATGTTGGTTAATGTGCAAGTCACATGATCACCTAACTTTTGGCTATAAAAGAGGGACCTTATCACAAATATGAAATCATAGTTATTCAAAACTTTTCTTTGTTACCACTCATCAGAATCTTATTCCTCCTCAAATGGCACCAAAGATGTTTGCATGCATTTATGATAATGGTGACATGATTCCTAACCCAGAAAATGGTGTTTTGTTTAAGTCTGACACCTGTATCATGGTTCATCTTCATAGAGATTTCACATTTTCACAATTAATAGAGATAGTATTGCAACGGGCTCAGAGAGATCCAACCAATCCACCTCCTGTCCTCCATTTCAGATTTCCAACACAAATTTGTGGTAGACATGCGACTTACATAACAACAAAGATTGAAGATGACAATGACTTGGATGGAGCCATGGACATCACAGAGGCCAACCCAACTTTGAGATCCTTGGAAATTTGCACGACTTACAACACAGGTCATAACTGATGGCGAGGAGGTCCTGCAAAAAGAAAAATATTTCAAAAGAGTATTTTGGACCTTCAAACCATGTGTTGATGGATTTCCTATTGCAAACCGTTAGCAAGTGGACGAAACATTTCTCTACGGGAGATATAGGAACACTCTTCTAGTTGTTGTAAAACAAGATGGGAGGAACAACATACTCCCTATTGGTTTTGCTATTGTTGAACGTGAAACGACAGAAGCTTGGTTTTATTTTTCCTCTAAAACCTTAGGAGGCACATTACACCTCAAGAAAACCTATGCTTAATTTCGGATCGTCATAACTCCATCAATGCAACATTTAATAGATCGGGAAGTGGATGAACTCAAGGAAATTGTGTGCATGTGTTTTGCATTCGACACATTGCACAAAATTTCACTCGAAGATTCAAAAATACAAATATGAAGAAGTACCTTATAAACATGGGTAAGTACTTAAAATTCCAAAATTTTATTCAATTATGTGTGATCTTCCATTATTTTTTGTTATATTTAATGAGTATTACTTTATAATTATATTTGCAGCATACGTAATGACTGAGCCAAGATGTAACTTTTACTACAATATCATAAGGAAAGAGAACCCAGAAGCAGTAACTTGAATTGACCAAATTCCAAGATATCAATGGGCACTTGCGTATGATGAAGGCAGAAGATGGGGTCACCTCACAACTAATCTGGCTGAAGCTATCAACTTAGTCTTGAAGAAAACAAGAAATATACCAATCTCCTCTATAATATTGACCACATATACCAGATGCAACACCTTCTTCATAGAAAGAGGGAAACACGTAAGTGAAATGATAAATGTTGGTCATGTCTATTTTGAAAATACCACCAAGGTCCTACAAGATGGTGATTCAAAATCAAATACTCACAGGGTGGTTGAATTTGATAGAAATACAACAAGATTCAGGGTGGAGGAAATGGTCAACCCAAGAGAAATACGTCATCTGGGTATATTTGTTGTTAGGTTGGATGAACAATGGTGTGATTGTGGGAAGTTTCAAAAAATTCATATATCGTGTTCTCATGTGTTAGCAGCTTGCAAACATGCCCATCATGACTTCAACATGTGCATTAATCTCCACTATAGGTTGGATGTCGTCATGAAAGTGTATGACCATATGTTTGGGAAGCTAATACATGAACAATATTGGTTACTATATGAAGGCCCACAAGTTTCGCCAAATCCAACCACGAGAAAGAGCTCAAAAGGTCGACCCAAATCAACTAAAATCAGGAATGAGATGGACATCAAGGAAGGAGGACACCCACGAAAGTGCTCATACTGTAAAACACCAGGACACACAAAAAATCCTCACAACCCTGACATTAGATGATTCATATCCCATCATTAATTGTATTAAACTTTTGTACTATCTTTCATCCATTCAATAAAAGTTCTATTCACTTGCATCTTAATTTTTTTTCTTTTACATTTAAATATATATTTCATTTAGTCTAAACATATTTTTACTATAAATTATTCTTTAACCATATAATAGTAACTTAAGAAAGCTAAAATCTATAATAGGAGTGTGACTTTTTAGAACTTATGAGTGGGGTTGTGAGTGTGATAAAAATAAGATAATCATGTTTTCTTGTAATATTTCAAGCAATAAAGACAATGGACTGAATTTTTTAAGACATTAATATGAATTTAACAAATTATAAAAATCTTAACAATAACACAATTTTATTTTCGAAAATATTACAACACAAAAAAATAGTGAGACTAACAATATTACACAACATCAAAAAGACTAATATATGTCACCAATTATGGTTAAACTTAGTACAATTAAACTTAATAACACTATTAAAAAATACAAAAACACTTCAACGTTTTGTACTTCTTAATTAATTTATTCTCCATCTCCTATTATTTAATATTTCTAATAAATTTAATAATACATTTAAAAAAAATACTATTTTACACCATTTAAAAATAAATATAAATATATTGATAATATAATAAACATATAACTCTTTTTAAAACTATAATTTCAAACTGCAAAATTTTTAAATAAAAAGTTATAATTTACATATCTTTTTTATTCACAAATTTTTTATGTAATGTACTAAGGATTTCAAAAATATTAATACATTATTTTTCTTATCTATAACTTATTTTCATTTCTAAAATATAAATATAATATATATATATATATATATATTCCAAAATATTACAAAACACAAAAAAAATACAATTCAAAAATATAATTTTATATAAAAATATTATTTAATCTTATATACATATAATTTTTAAGATTTTTATTATCTTCCTAGTTTATTATTAATTATAAAAAATATTACAATATCAAATAAATCAAAGAATTAAAAAAAATTAATCATACAAATAAACTATAAATATAATATTTAATAAAATATTTAAAAAAATGTTATTTTACTCATTTCAATAATAAATCTCAATATATTATTAATCTAATAAATATATAAATCTTTTTAAAACTATAATTTAAAACTATAAATTTTAAATAAAACATTATAATATTATATATATATATATATATTATAATTTATTTAATGTATATTTGAAAAATTAATCGATTAGTTTTTCAATTATTCTATTATAATTGAATAATTTTTAAACAACCGACTATTAATCAATTAGTTTTTCAAATCTATATTAAATCATTATAAATAAAAATATATATTAAATTAAAATTTAAAAAATATTTAAAAATTATATATATTATATAAATTATATATATATATATATATATTACATAAACTACAATTACATATATGAACTTTAAATTAATTAATTATATATATATATATATATATATTTTTCATAAATTAAAATAATAATTATCAACTTAAAATAAATTATATTTAGAATTATAATATATATATATATATATATTCAAATATAACTTATTTTAATTTCTAAAATATTATATATATATATATATATATTCCAAAATATTACAAAATACACAAAAAAAAATATATTTCAAAAACATAATTTTACATAAAAATATTATTTCATCTTATATACATATAATTTTTAAGATTTTTATTATCCTCCTAATTTATTATTAATTTCTAAAAAAAATTATTACAATATCAAATAAATTAAAGAATTAAAAAAAATCATACAAATAAAATATAAATATAATATTTAATAATATATTTTAAACATATTATTTTACTACTTTCAATAATAAATTTTTTTAAACTATAATTTTAAATAAAATATTATATATATATATATATATTGTATTTTTTAATGTATATTTTGAAAAATGAATCAATTATTTCAAAAATTATTCGATTAGTTTTTCAATTACTCGATTATGATCGATTAATTTTTCAAACAATCAATTATTTTTTCAAATAATTAATTATAATCAATTACTTTTTCAAATAATCGATTATTAGTTTTTAAATATACATTAAATAATTACAAATAAAAATATATATCAAATTAAAATTAAAAAAATTATTTATAAATTATATATTATATAAATTATAATTATAAAGTTAAAAAAATAATATTTAAAATTATAACCTCAAAAAAAATTATAATTATAAAATTATTACAAATATAACTATTTTTAATATTAAATAAATTATATATATTATAAAAATTATATTCATATATATATATATATTACATAAATTAAAATAATAATTATTTACTTAAAAATAAATTATATTTAGAATGTTAGACAAATGACATCTAGAGGGGGTGAATAGATGCACAAATTTTAATAGATGTCAAATTAAAAATTTATTTGTGAGTTAATAATTTGTTTGAACACAGATAAAGCGGAAACGATAATATAATCAGGAAAAGAGAAAGAGATAAGGGAAAGAGAAGAGCACACAGTGATTTATACTGGTTCGGGTATAGCCAACCCTACATCCAGTTCCCAGTCAACTCTTAACACAAGAGTGACTCTCAATTCACTATCTTTCAAATTCAGTTTACAAATTACAATCAACTCAGCAGAAGAACCAGTAAAAAGTAAACTAATTAAAAAGACAATCACCTCCTTAGAAACCCACTAAGGATGCACACCTCCCTAGAATCCCACTAGGGATGAACACCTCCTCTGAACAAATCAAAGGATGAAGAAACACCTCCTTAGAATCTCAATAAGGATGAACACCTCCCTAGAATCCCACTAGGGATGAACACCTCCTCTGAACAAATCAAAAGATGAAAAACACCTCCTTAGAATCCCACTAAGGATGATCACATCCCTAGAATCACACTAGGGATGAACATCTCCTTGAACAAATCAAAGGGATGAAAACACCTCCTAAACCCACAAAGGATGAAGGAGTAAGATAAGAACAGTCACACCTTGGTAATGAAGACAACAAATTGTAGAAGCCTGTAGAATTTCAATCTCCAAGAACAAGTGTGATTAACAATGAAAGCAAAGAAGGCAGTAGAGAAGAGGGTTTTCTCAGAAGGTGTAAAATATCTCTGTTGTCTTGCTCAAAATTCTTTTCTCAAAACTGATTGAATGTAAATTGTATTTTCGAATTCTGTAATTGTGTATTTTTGTTTTTTCATCAAAACTTAATTAAATAGAAAAATAACATCAGAAAATGGTCGTTGGACATTAATATTTTCGTGAATAAAAAACAGGATATATTCAAAAACATTTATTCTTTAAATTATATATATTTTTCAAATTTAAATTGCCATAATTGATTGTTACCGAGTATAATCAATTATGACAGAGAAAATCATTTTTCCATTTCTGATGCATCATAATTGATTATGACAGTGAAAAATATCATGTTATGAATTTTATTACACTTGTGCTTTGAAGACTTATGCATAATATTACTTCATCAACTTGTACCTCTATATCCAGTATTCTAAGACTTTATCTACTCTTCAGGAATCATCTTGGGCTTGCTTGAATCATCATCTTTATCAAAAACATATCTTGGGCATGTAAGGAAATGTTTCACATTGTCACCAACGTCTTAAA